CAAACTACTTCTCTGACCTACCACCCCCAGGCCCACCTTCCACACAGTTGGAGAGTCAGTAAAGTGCTGGAGAAAAATCAGATTAAATTCACTTCAGAACCGTAGTGAGAAAGGGGGCTCTTTTTGTCAAACAGAACAACACCTCGAGGAGTTTGGTGCAACTGCTGAAGGAATTGGGTAGAAGAAATCAGAAGCAAGAGAAGGAATTGCATTGGGAATGGCAGCGACCACCTGAGGACTGCTTATCCCCAACACCACACGTGAAGGCAGTGAAAGTCTGATCTGCCAGTCCCATTTAGCAGCTACAATACAAAGCAGGAAAATGAAAAAGCCACAGAACCCCAAAACAAACATACCAGCAGCTTCAAGTTTATCTCACCTTTATTTCTACAGGATCGTTCCAGTGGAAATTGATAGGAGCCACACCAGGGACGTAGAAAGAATCCGTACCATGAAGCCACAACAGCAAGAGCAGCAAATACCTTAGCCTTTCCTGCAAAAAGAAGAAATATTAAACTACAAAACAAACACCAGAACATCATTGGAGGAGGGCAACACCACTGAAAGCACTCATCCCAGACATTACAGAGTCCTTACAGTTGAGCAGTGAAACATCAGTTAATTCAGGAAAGCTGTTAATTTTGGTCCATGGCTCTCATTGAGCACCTTCCACTCCCTGCTTGTTCACATGCAATGAGGAGAGTGTTGGCTTTGCTCAGCTACAACACACCCATGTTTATCTGTGCTATGATTTGCCTCGAGATTTACCAGAGTTAACATTCACCCTGATCTGGATTTCCCTCAGCTCTGTGGGTCAGGAGCTGCCCTGCACCATTACCTGCTGCACTCACATCACAGCCCACAGCACCCAAAGGGGCTGCTCACATCTACTCTCTTTCCAACTACAAACACTGTGATACAGTTTAATCTTTAAACTTGAAACGTACATAAAATATAAGTGCCAGAGACTTGCCCAAAATGTGTTAAAACTAAGTTGCCAGCTACTATCTACCCCCATCACCACCCAAAGGAAGATTTCCAGACTTATCTCAATTTCAGCTTACTGTAGTTACAGCAGGCAAAGATCATCATCTGGAAAGCAACTGGGAAATGCTTCTTAGATGTGAACAGTGCCCTGACATGGGGTAGGTTTCATGTACTTCACTAAGTTTTGCCTTCTCTGATCATGTAAAGGAGAGCTGTGACTCTGAGCCATTAGGAAGAGATGCCCCAGGTAGGTGAGCACCAGAGGGAGTGCTGTGCCCCACAGCAGCCAGCTGCCTGTAGCACTTCTTGCTCCATTTGTCACCAAAATGCCTGTCATCCACTGCACAATATTACTTAGCAAAACCTAAGCAAAATCAAAACCACTTTGGTGCAATCCTTGTCATGACAGGCTTGCAAGATGACAAAAATAAGGATGGAGCCTTTGGAAGGCACTCAGGAGACACATAAGCACATAGAAGATGCATTGGGGATGACACTTATGGCAAAAGTCAGGCTCTTGGATATGGATGGTGATGACTCAAGACAGTACTGGGCAACAGAGAAGATGAGAGGGGAACTATAGAAAGCATTGCCAGGAAAAATTATTTGGGGCAAGAAGTGGGAGCACCACCATGCAGCAGGAGGGATGGAGTTTCCGAAGCGACATTGGAGGGAAGTACGTGTGATGCCTGAAGCCTTCTGCATTAGGATCCTTGCTGCCATACTCAGAGATCAGCCTCCCCCCCTCCAGCTGAAGAGAGCAGCTTATCAAGCCAACACAGATATGCACCAAAACATCTGCACAACTCCTGGGCCTGGCCAGGCCATCTCTCATCTAAAAGATACCTGCAGGACTGAACACCACCTGTGCAAGATCAAAATGAGCAGGACAGAGCTCTGCTTATCACAGCCTCTGGTGAGGCACAAGCTTCCAGAAAAAGGAGATCCTGTTTTCATGGCCTCTACCACGAAGTTCTGAGCATTTCAACTCTATGTTCTGAGCATTTCAACACACACACATAGAAATCACTCTGGGGACAGCCTAGCATCTAACGTGCCAGGTAAGCCCACAGCAAAGCAGCAAGTAGTGCAACACAGATGCACAACTCCAGACCAAGCCAGCCCAGGCCATCAGCACGGGGAGCAGCTATGGTGCTGCAGGCAGGAGCCCAGCACTGAGCAAGGCACAGAGCCTCAGCAGAGACACAGACACGAAACTCAGCACCTGAAGCCTGTGGGACTCCTAATGAAAGAATCTGAAAACATGACAATCCATTCCTGTAGTTAACCTTAGAGCGTACCACTTATCTGTAGAAGTAAATCCACTGGAATCTTTCTTGCAGTCATTCTAACACTGTATTTTTTGTCCCATGCACAGTGTAACACTGTAATGTGATGGAAAGTAAAGCAACAGTAGTGGGGTGGCAAAGTTTGTGACTGCAGCAAATGAGGACAAGCCTAAAGGCAACAGCTGTGGATCCAGAAATGAAGGAAAGAAACTGCTTACCTTTAAAACACCTCAGATATGCAGGGATCTCCAGTGAGATCCCCTCACCTCCACTGCCAGCCCTTAAATGAAGGCTGGAAGGGGTGGATCCTGGCTCCAGCCCTTCCATCACTCAGATGCACTGCTTACACCTGAGCTCCATTGGGTTGGCCCTCCTTCCCACCAGGTGCTCCATCACTGCTTCAGGCCACAGCTGAGCATCTCCACTACACACAGCCACAAACAGAAACTCACACAAAAACCCTCTCCAAGAAGGTATTCCTGGATAACTACCACTAGGCTTAATGCATGCAAGCAATTCCAGGACACTTTCTTTGACACTTTCTCATCTAGAAAGACTTGAACAACACTGCCTTTTCTTTTGCGAATTGTCAAAGGATTTTTGTGAAGGACCCTTCAAGCAACAGCAATTCCCAGCACCCCGTGAGCACCACAACACAGCTCTTTCTGTATTGGCTCCCAGTTCAACTGCAGACTTGTGAACATAGTGCAGTGTTTTCTTAAAGGGAAGAAAACATGAGAACAGCGTGTGAATGAGACGAAGGAAATATGAAAAAAAGGGCAGAAGGTATATTGAACAACAGAAATCAAGAGCTTTCAATCTTCGCTTTTGAGGAAAGCCAGGGAGAGCAGCCTGTGCCTGGCCATTTGTCCAACCATTTGTCCAGCCAGATGCACAAAGCCCTGATCCCAATCACCATGTTGTTCCAAAGTTTCAGTGACCACAACCTTTAAACACGGTGTCAGAAAGGGAAAACTGAACACAGTCCTCTAACATGCAGCGAGAAACAAAACCCCACACACAACAAAGCACACCTGGGCTCTCCCCACATGCACTCACCAGGCAGCCACAGGATGAGCCCAGCATTACCAGCACCTGCTCACCACCCTCCCTTGCTCATTGTGTCCCTGACAACTGCTTGCACAGCCTCACCCTTATCACACTCCTGCCCAGCCCATGCTCATACCCAGAGGAGTCACTGAAAGCCTTTAGAAAGGAGACAAGCACTGCATTCACATCGATCTCAGAGAGCCCCTTTGAGAACAGGAGAGCTGTCAGCAGCCTTCACTGCCTTTCACAGGAGGCTACAAGGAAATGCTCCATCCCTGGAGGCATCCAAGGCCAGGTTGGATAGGGCCCTGGGCAGCAAGATCTAGTCCTGGCAACCAGCCCAGGGCAGGGGGTTGGAACTGGATGATCATTAAGGTCCCCTCCAACCTAAGCCATTCTATGAAACCCCCAGGAGAACCATCTCCAGCACTCCTCGTTGCCTGGGAGGCAGCCAGCAGATCACAGCAGCATTAAAGCTAAATGAATGAAAGCCTCCACTACCCACACAGCGTCCACCTGAGAACGGACTCAGTGCAGCACACAGCCTCTGTGCACAGCCCTGCTCCTGCAGAGCTTCACCGTCCCTCCGTGCTGTTGGGGAGGAAGGCTGCTGTCATGAAAGACCAGTGAGTGCCTCACCATGTGTTTCGTCCTGCACACGGGGGCCCTGATGCTCACCCACATTGGCGGATTCCCACCGGGAACAGCTCCGACGACTTAAGGAGTAATTCAATCGTTAAAATATAGCCACAAAATTGGGAAGGAAGGGATGGAAGGGAAGGAAGGATTCAGCCAGCATCAGCCACTGTCGAGCACTTAGGATGGCACACACGACTGCCCTAGGGCAGCCCGCTGCCGGGACGGCACCAGACCGCAGGATTGGAGCACCGGACACCGGCTCGGCCCGCGGCGAAGCGCCCGCCGCCCTCTGCCCTCCGCAGCCGACATTGCCCCGCAGGGCCGCAGGGCCACCCCGGAAGGAAGCGAGGCCGCAACCGGACTCGGAGCACCGCCCCCGGACCGGAGAGCCCACGAGGCCGAGGAGCAGTCAGACTACGAGCGATGCCGGTGCCGCTCCCGCCCGACCCAGGCCCGCCGGACGGAACCCGCGCGGCCGCCCCGCACTCACCACCATCGCCGCCGCTGCCGCCATCTTGGATCCACGTGTCGGCGCCTACGTCACCGGAAGCGGCGCGCGGTTGGCTGCGGGGCCCATCGCCATGGCGACGGCGGCCTCGGCGCCCGGCGGCCGACTGCACTCTGCCCGGCCCGGAGCTCCTCCGACGGCAGCGCGGAACCCGGCGCAGCGATGTCGACGGCGGGGCTGGGGTCACCAATAAGGCGCTAGCGGCTTGGAAGCCTCGGGGCGGCGCAAGGGATGAGGGCGAGCTGTGCCGCCATCTTTACTGAGGGCAGCGGCCTTCGCGCTGAGGACGGGTGCGACGCCGCGGGCGCCATCTTGTGTGAGGGCGTTGACGCCTTCTTCTCTCCCCGGCGGGGCCTGGCCCAGCCCGGTGCGGTCGGCCCATGGCGGTGCTGCGCTGAGGCCGGGGCTGCGCTGCTCCTGTTTCAGCCTGGTTGTACGGAACTGAGGTGGTGCCACGGGCAGGGCTGCAGCTGCGGGGTGGCGTAAATATTTTATTGACCACAAACAGAAGCGTCTCAAAGCAGATATTAAAGCCAGCAGACAGCGGTGTTTGTTTATGTGAGGAGAAAACAAAAATCGCTGTCTCTCTGTTGTAAGAAGTAGGGGACAAAAATTCTGTACAAAAATAATTCTCCCTCTCTTCTTCCCCAGATGCCACATCATTAAATACTAAGAAAACCAGAAGGACAAACTGAGTGCGTAAGGAACATTCGTTGCTCGTCGTGCAAAGCCCTGCAGTGCTGCTGATGGCAGCCATCATGCTGATGGTCCCAGAGAGGCTCAGTGATCCTCTTGGGTCCCTTCCATCCCACCATGTTCTGTGGTTCTGTGATTGTATGATATCACTGAGGTGCAATCAGCCCCATTGTGTGTGCGTTCCTCATCCTCAGCAGATGAAGCACCACAAGAAGTGTGTGGGACACCCAAAGGGAGCTGTGGTTCATGTGACACCTCTGCAGGGCCCCGGGGCAGGGATGAGATGAAGTGCTGCAGTTGCTGTACCCAGAGGCTCAAATGAACTGCTCCACTTTTGCCCCGCCAGGCCGCAACTGGAAGCCATCGTTTTCTGTACCAGGCTGGCAGATGAGGAAGGCACACACTGAACACCACAAGTGGGACAGGGAGGTGCTGCTGGGATGGAGTGCACAGTGCTCTCCGCTGCCTTCACCGCGCTTTCTGCTCTATGCCTGCTGCTGGTACTGGCCCTCTGTCGCAGTAAAGAAATCCTCCAAAATGCTCTGCATGTACTCAAAGGTGGGACGGTCCTCTGGTTTGGTTTTCCAGCATCTCATCATGACATCGTAGAGCTCCTCAGGACAGCTTTCCGTACGGGGCATGCGGTAGCCGTGCTCCAGAGCTCTGATCACCTCCGCGCTCGACATCCCTACAGAAGTGGGGCAGAACATTTCAGGAGCTGTCACTGATTTCTTTAAATAGGAACAAACACAAAACCCAGACCTCCTTTGGGCAACGTCACTGTGGAGAGAAAGGACAGGTTGGAGGAGCAGGGGAAGGGGAGAAACTGCTCTGCTTCAGGAAAACGTGCCAACAACTGTGATGCCACATCCCCTGTCGCCTGCAGTTTCGTACCCCATTTGAGCAGATCAGATGGGAATTGTAATTGTTTTGTATGAATTCCCAGGAAATAAAGGCTGCGTTTTTCCATCTGCTGAAGCTTTAATAAGCCATTCTTCCCTGTGTCACTGATGAAAACAAGGTAGTGTCGATGGCAGAGCGGGTCCATCCCCCACAACACTTTCAGCCACTCCTTAGCCTTCATGGATGGGTTGTGGCAATGGTTACTCTCCAGGTACAGTCATTTTCCAATGAAAAAAGGCACCAGAGAAGCAATTAGGGTATAACAGAGAACACATCCTAATTATGACAATACACAGATTGTTTGAGCTTTCCCAAAAACACCTGGCCCAGCTATCAGCCCTGAACTGATGTTCTGCTTCCAAACAATCTTTTCTGCAGGAAGCAGAGAAACAAGGGTAAGTGCTATAAACACAAATAATTGTGACCTTGCGATCTCTGAGCTCAGTTTCCAATGTGAGATTCAAATTTCTTGCCCTTGCCTCTGGTTTTGGTGATTGAACTTCATGGAGAAAAAAAAAATCCTATAGAGGGAGCCCAGAACACGGAGCACAGCTTTTGGAACTGGGTTACAACAGGAATTTCTGTACCTGGGTATGGGATGCGCCCATAGGTAATGATCTCAGTCAGGAGGATCCCAAAGGACCAGACATCAGATTTTATAGTGAAAGATCCATAGTTGATTGCTTCTGGCGCAGTCCATTTAATGGGAAATTTGGCACCTGGACCAAGAAATCCAACGAGAAACATGAGCTGAAACCCACATGTTGAGAATTTGGTAGTGAAATATGGGGAAGAAGAAACAAACAGAAGAGGAAGATACGGAGCAATGCAAATGAGAGGGGCTTCCACTCATCCGTTCATTGCAGTACGTCTCTCCCCGGGTCCCTGTTGCCAAGGCTGCACAGCGATGAGGGGCTCTTAGGGAATCCTGCAGCCCTTCCCCATCCCAGGCAGGGGCCAGGCTCCCACAGCAGCTCTCGTACCTTCCCGAGCTACGTACTCATTGTCTTCAATGATCCTGGCCAGCCCAAAGTCTGCAATCTTGCATACCAGCATCGCTGACACGAGAATGTTGGCAGCTCTCAAGTCTCTGTGAATGTAGTTCCTCTTCTCAATAAAAGCCATTCCTTCTGCAATCTGCAAAAAGCAGAAAGGCAGAAACGCGGGTCTGTTTGAAATAACACAAAACGCATAGCTAGGAATGGAAAAAGCTCAACTGATTTTGTGAGCACATAGAAAAAAAGGGCAGGGGGGGGGCTGAGCTGTGGCAGGGCGTGGGACATCTGTGGTAGAAATGTGACCGAGGGCTGCGTGGGAAGCACTGCAGTGTAGGATGGTGAAAGAGGTTGGGGTGACCCAGCACTGCTCATTTATGGTTGGGTGAGAACAGCAGCAAAGAACTGGTGTCCAGGGAGCTGGCAGGCTCAGGAGCAAATGTCTGGGGATGCCCACAGGCCAAAGTGTGGCAGCTGCATCCATAGCCATGTAAATGTGCCGAGGAGTAAATCATTCTCCATTATGAGCAGACATGAGAACAGCCTCCAAATGCACAAACAGCTGCTGGAGAGAAGCGCGATCTCCTCTTTGCTAAAAGGGCACCAAATGGAGAGGGCTTCTCTGGGGAGAATAAAAAGCCCTGAGATGGGTCTCTGGAGAGGGCTGTGAAGTCAGCCTGGAGGCAGGATAGTGCTGCTGACCCCAAAGATGGCCCCAGCTCCATCTTCTGAGCTCTCTATGCTCGGTGACTGCGCAGCTGTTGGCTCCTGAGCGGCACAGAGATGCACTGCTGCGTGCACAACCCAAACCCAACTTTGTGCTGACTTAGCCTGAGCTGGGATGCTAGCAGCATCTAAAAGGTGAAAGGGCCGGAGCAGCCGGAGGGAAGCACTCCCCTCCCTGTTACACCACAGTAAGATGTACAAAATACAGAAGTAAGCAGGCACTGCAAGAGTGGAAGGGCTATTTGCAGGGCCCCACGCGGCTTTGCTGCCTGTGACTCAGCAGCATCTCCAGCCAGGAACCCAGCTACTGCCTGCTCACTGCCCGGTGCTGTGCAGAGCACGACAGCCTTATAGGGATGTGCTCCAGAGCCAGCGACCTGCTCTGCACCTCCAAAGCCTGGGCTGCAATCCGAGCTTTGCTGTTGCTCAGGTTCCTCCGTTCATCGAGGCATCACACTTGGCTCCAAGGTGGGCTGTTGGCCAGCAGCTGCAGGCGCTGCAAAAGCAGCGGTGCCAGGATGGTGTCTGCACAAATGGCTGCACATGCAAAGCGAGGTGGGTAAGAGCACACCCAGCTGTATTCCAGACCCTGAAAATATCCCTGAACCTCTTTTCGCTGAGTCCCTCTTCTCTCCAGCTGCCTTCTCACAGCCCATGGCAACTCTCTGGCTGAAAGATGAATTTTAAGCATAGCTTCTACCGTAAACCTCCCCTAGGCATTGCTGCTGCATGGGGAGTCGTGTGCTTACAACTGAGGCTGTGCTGCTCAGGGCCAGCACATCCTGAAGAAAGGCCTGCAAAAATGAGTGAGAGAGAGCCAGCTCCACCTCTTCACCCTACAAAGCAGACCTGCAACATGGGCCCCCAGGGCTGCAAACCCATGGGGCAGGAACTCAAGGCCAGCGCTGGCAGTGCCTGGGCTTGCTGCAGTTAGTGGGTTAATGGGGAGGAAATGACTGCTTCTCCTTTTGTGCACATCTGCTCCCACAGTCTGCAGCACAACAAACCTCACTGCCCCATTCCTGCATCCCCTGGTCTGCGAGTCCTCGCCATGCACAGAGGATCTGCAGCATTTCCCTTGCCTGGAAGCACGCTGCCAGCACTCAGCCCCGGGCACCAAGCCTTGCACTCTGCTTTATAGATCCTTGGCAGGGAGGAAGGGTAGGTCCCCAAAAGCCAGCCATGAGCTCTCAAGGGATTTAAGCCACTCGAGCTCAATTTTGCTTTGCTAGAACTGAAAGATGGAACGGGAAGCTGGGGAAGATCTGTGCCCTGCTCACCTGTGCAGAGAAGTCGATCAGCTTTGGCAGTGGCTGCTTGTTGCCTTCCTCACTCTTCAGGAAGTCCAGCAGGCTCCCTGAAGGCAGAGCATGGCGCTCAGCCTGGCTGCAGCCCAACAACTCCCATGCTCACCCACTGGTGGCACAGGGCCCCTCCTGTCCTTATCTCTCCCTCTGCCAGGACTGTCCCCCCCCCCCCCCCCCAGCCCCACCTCCTGCACCCCCACGTCCCACACCATGCAGGCCAGCAGCACCTTTCTCCATGAACTCGGTGATGATGTATATGGGCTCCTCCCTGGTGATCACAGCGTGCAGCCTCACCAGCTTGTTGTGCTGCAGGCCCTTCATGAGGTTTGCCTCCTCCAGGAAGGCACTCACAGACATGCTGCCAGGTTTCATTGTCTTCACTGCCACCTTGGTGTGCTTGTTGTAGGTTGCTGCCAGGATACCAGCCCCACTCATCATCGTCCCACCATCGTTCCACCACTTCTCCCACCCCTCATCTTTCTCCCTTTGCCACCCTCACTCTCACCCATCCACACTTCTCCAAACTGCCCGGCTCCCAGCTTCTTCTCCAGCTTCAGTGACTCCCGAGGAATTTCCCAGGCATCTTTCTCCCAGGGCTTCTGGGGTCTGGGCACACTGCAGGGGTAGGTGAGCCTCTGGCACAGCCCATCACTCTGCCCTGCCAGAGAGCAGCAAGTGCAGTCAGCCAGGCTCCATGATCTGTGGCTGTGGGGCATCAGCTGGTGTCAAACACCATTACTGCAGCATAGCACAGCTGAGCATTACCGTGCAGCACGGCACAGCCAGGGCACCAGCATGGAGACAGGCAATTCCCAGGCCCTGTGAGCATTTGGTGCCACCAACACCCCTGCCAGGCATTGCGGGGGGACACAGAGTGGCCAAGGTCTCAGTGGAAGCAACGTGCCAGGGCTCACCCTTGTAGTGCTCCACCAGCTCCTGCAGTGTGTCAAAACTGCTGCGTGAGGAGATGTAGAAGCCACCACTATCCAGTGTCCGGATCCTGTAGTGCTTGATGCTGCCTCCCTGCAGGCCGTCCCCATCCCGCACCGACAAGGAGTAGCAACCTGCTCAGGGATGGATGAGCTGTGCCATGGGGCAGCGTCCCTCGGCTCCTGGCTAAGCCACCAGCATGGCATCACCCCTGCCTGGCCCCAGCACAGCCCCAGGCAGCAATGGCAGCCCCATGGGGGCGCATCCCCTGTCTCCTCATGGGGTTCAGGGCAGCACTGTGGGCTCATGCAGAGATGCTTGCAGCAGCATGGTGGACTCCAGCTCTTGCCTGGCAGCAAATCAGAGCCCCTAGGGTGTATTGAGCCTCTCTCCTGGTCAGGTGTGCAGAAGGGAGGCCCTTCTGGAGCTGCCTCACCCCCCCCGGTACCTTTGGTCGTCTCACTGTCCCGAATCATGAAGGATCCCAATGTGTTCCCGGGGCTGAGCAGCTGCCGCTCTGCATCCTTCCTGCTGACACCCTTGAAGAACCACCTGCAGCAGGAACAGAGTAAGCAACGACCGCTGCTGGGAGCCAGGAAGCCAAGGCTGGCACAGGCTGGGGCTATTAGCCCTGGCACGGTGGGGACACGGGGTGTGACTGGAGATAACTGCAGTGGGACTCTCACTCTTCCACCTCCAGTGAGTCAGCTTGGGCGACGAAGTTGCTGGGGATGAAGCCCTTGCGCCCTGTCACCAGTGACCGTGCCTGCCACCACTCTCCCAGCCTGAGGACACAGACAGCCACAGGTCAGCACAGGGCACTGCCAGCACCCATGAGCCATAGGGACAGCCCTAGGCAGGGGACACGTACTGCTCCAGGACCTGCAGCTGCTCCCCTTTCTGGAAGCTCAGGTCCCCAGAGTGCATCGCCTCATAGTCATACAGTGCCAGCACCACGTTGTCCCCTGAGCCTGCAGTGAGAGTGGCTCTTGTGTGCCTGTCCCCATGCTGGGACCACGCACCACACACCCATGTGTCCCTGCTGCCAGGAAGCACAGACCTCCCACACCATCAGGTTTGGTTCCAGTGAGGACCCCACTGAGCTCCCCATCGCTGTGTGTACGCACCATCCGCCAGCAGGGGCGCAGACACTCCGTGTTCATCGTGCTGCAAATGGAACAACAAACAGGAGAGTGTAACGATGGCACACAATGGGACCTGTGGGGGTCTTGGACACTCATCCATCTTGCCCAGCACAGGCAGAGCATCTCCTTCCTCAACACCTTCATCTCTGACTGTCCACATTCCTTTATTCTCACCAATGTGGGCTGGGACAGACCTTGCACTCCCATCTCAGTTCCCACCCCAGCCCTGTGCCCGCTGCCACCCAGGTGGCTCCATGTCCCCTCTGCCCCCTAGGGCACTGCAGCTCCCACTTACTTGCTTGCTGCCAGACGCGGGGTCCTTCTTATCGTGGCCTAACTGCATCTTCTCTTGGATGCTGTCTTCCTTTGACTTCATGCAACCCATCCTGTGTGTGTGTGAGGATGGCGTGGGGAGGACGGGACAGGGGAGAAGTTGCAGCAGCACCAAAAGCCCCACACCCACAGTTCCCACTCCAGCACAGCTGGTGTCCACAGCCCTGCTCACACCAACAGGTTGGGCTCCACAAAAGCAAAAGCCAGACTCTCCCCCAAAGAAATGTCAGTAGGAAAATGTGCTGCCAGCAGCAGTGGTGCAGGGAAAGCCCCCAAAAGGCACTTCCCTCTCTCCGACAGAGACCTCAGCCCAGGGAAAGGAGAAGGGTGCAGCGAAGGAGGAAGCAAAGGGCTGTGGCACTGTGGGGGACATGCATAGCACCACCTCAGTCCCATGGTCCTTGAGAGACTATCACTGCCACCTCCCAGCCGCGTCACCATCACTCCTGGTCCTTCACAGCAAGCCAGAGCCTTTGCCCACCGTGCTCTCCAGCAGAGCAGAAGTGTCTGAGCACCTCACAGTCACCAACTCTCCACGTCTTGAGGCACTGTCCCATGCAGTGACCTGGTAGCATTGGGGATCCCCTGGTGCACCTCATGTTCTGCAGCTCCTGTGGCTGAGCCCAAATGTGGGGACAGGAAGCGACACCACGGCATCACCTCCTCCTTCCCTGCACCCCAGCATCCATTTCATTGGCATTGCCCCCCTACCATCCCCAGACTTCGGTTCCCATCCAGGTGCCACCACACCTAGCAGGGACAGGACAGGGGCCGAATCCAGCACAGGGCACCACTGCTGCAGCTCTGCTGTCTCAGGCAGGGATGGCGAAGGGCAGCCCTTTACCGGGGGCTCTGAGTCCCACTGACCTCGCTGCCCTGGGGGCTCTTCTCTCACCTTGGCTGCTGTCACGGGTCCCGGTCCCCGTCCCAAAGCCAAATCCACTGCTGCTGCCACCACATCGAGCTCGGTGGGTGTTGCTCCCTGTCCCGGTGTGGCTCCGCCTCACCCGGTGTGGCTCCGCCCCTCTCCGGTACGACACTCCCTGTCCCAGCCCTCAGTGACATCCCGGTCCTCAGCCCCGACCAGGGCTGCTCGGGACAGGGAGCCATTCCTTCACCCGCCGCGGGACGAGAGAAGCAAGGATGGGGTACAGGATGGGACCAGAGCATTATCACTTCCCACCCGGTTCTGTGCCCCCAGGAGAAGTAAAGAGAAAACCCGAGTGCTTCACTTGCACAAGGATTTGCATACATCATTTTTAGGGAAGTAACTTGCTGCGGGCAGCCCTCACGCTGCCTGCCCAGGTGCTGCCCCCTGCTCGGAGCTGTGGGGCTCCTGGGGGCTTTGCTTAGTCCAGGAACAGCCATCCCCACCACTCCCCATCCTGGAGGAAGGCAAACACTTCACTGCAGCGCATCCAGACCCCCGGCACGGGGAGGCTGTGGCTGCCACCCTCCCATCCCAGTACAGCCACACTGACCCCACTTTGCTGTGAGAGCACCCTCCTGTGCCAGCCCAGCTTGTCACAGCACTGGGGTGGGTGGGTGTCCCATCTGTGAGCTGCCCCTGTGCCCCAGCTCACCCCCTGCCCAACACATTCCCTTTGCACTGAGGAAGAACCTGCTCCAATCCCCATCTTTGTCATTTAATTGCAATCTGCAAAAATTACAGCACTTGGCACCGCTGGTGGGGGCTCCCCTGAACCGACACCGCCCTGAAATGCCATCAGCCCAGCCAAGAGGAGAGCCCTGTCCCTTCCATGGTGATCTGTGCCTCCTTCACAGGTAGTTGTCCTCCTCCTCTTCCTCCTCCTCCTCCTCGTCCCGTGCCAGTGCCTCGATGTCATTTGTGATGTTGGTGATCATGCGGTTGAAGGACTCGGACTCAGAGCGCAGGGACCAGCTGTCGTAGCTGCGCACAGCGGAGGCCGACGTGTTGCTCATGCTGCGCTTGATGCGGCCGAAGCTGTCGGTGAGGATGCCGCCCTCCCTGATGCCGATGCTCTCCAGGAAGGTCTCGAAGTACCCAATGTCTTGATCAGGGATGAAGGGCCTCATCCCTGGGACAAGTGCCACAGAGTTTTGTGGTGTGACCGTGCCAACCCCATCTGGGGGCAGCGGGGTCCCACCAACCCCTTGCTGCGCACCCAAGACCCCGTCCCCAAGGATGCACGGATGGTGTAGCACAGACCGATCGCTCAGGGCTGCCCCAATCCCTGGGGCACTCACCCAGCAGGAGGAACTTCCTCCGGTCCCCGTAGAGGCGTAGGAGCTCTGTGCAGTACTCCTGCACCGGAGTGCCCAGCCGGTACTCGCGGAGCATCAGGGCAAACTGCTGGATCTCCTGGGGAGACAGCTTGTTGCGCAGCTGGGGGGAAACAGGGATGGGTTGGGGCTGGAGGCGGAGGTGCTGGAGAGGAGTGGGATCCCCTACCAGCCCCCAGCCCTCACCGTCACCATGTAGTCCTGCAGCTGCTCCAGCCCCACACTGCTCTGGTCGCTGCCGCTGCAGGCGGTGGCCAGGCTGTGGTGGGACTGGTGGAAGGAGGGTGAGGATGTCCCACTATAATATGCCTCAAATGTCTCATGGGAACCATTGCTGCTGGAGGACAGGGCAGGAAGGGGTCAGTGGGTGCTGGCACTGCTCTTGCACAGCACCCATCAGGCAGGGCAGTGAGGATGTGCACCTGCCCCAGAGCTGGGAACTCACAAGGAGCTGCAGCAGCTGTAGTCAGCATCGTAGCCATACGTCCCATCTGTGCGGCAGCTCTCACCTGGGGAGGGAAAGCTGAGTTCAGAGAACCAGGGTGTGAGTCCCCACTCTGTGCTCGTGCCCTTCAGCCCCGTGTCACCGCACTTAAGGCTCTCACACACGCCTCCATCCACTCACTTCTGCTGGAGAGCCAGGGCCGCGTGGGTGTGGAGGTGTAGTGGTACCCGGCACGGTCCACACATTCAATGCTCTGATCACCGTAGATGATCTGGAAGACCTGGCAGATGAGTGCACAGGACTCCTCGGCCGCATCCTGCAGAGGACCAGAGGGGATGGGGAGTGGGCGCATGCCGGGAAGGGAACCCAGTGCCGGGAACCCGCGGGTGCTCACCCTGTTCGGCACAGCGAGGATGACGAGGTTGGAATACGCGTCGGGGCACGGCTCCTGGGGGTCCAGCGGGTTGCCACCGGGGTGCCGTCTCTCCCAGCTGCCGAAACCGGTGCCGCGCTCCCAGCTTCCACCCGCCGTGCCGATCCGCCGCCGCTCCCAGCTGCCGCCGCACGGCTGCCTCCTCTCCCAGCTGCCCGACGGCCGCCCGCGCTGCCGCCGTTCCCAGCTGCCTCCCCTCCGTCGCTCCAGGCTGCCGCCCTGCCGGCCCTCCTGCCCGCCCCGAGCCGCACGCCAGTCCAGGCTGCAGATGGTGTGCCGCCGCTCCATCGCACCTCCCAGCCGCCCCGGCTCCGGCCAAGAGCTCCCCGAGCGCTTCTCAGCTGGGGGCACCTCCGGCACCGGGGCCGCTTCGGGGTATGCGCCAGCGGGGACTGGGTCCACTCCCAGGCCTGGAGGCAGCGAGGAGGGTCGGGGCATCAGACTGGGGACGCCAGCTCTCACACCTGCCCCATCCCACTGACTGGGCGAGCTTAGGAATGCACCCCATACCCAGCCTGGGGCTCAGCCCCCTCCCCAGGAGCCTGGCTGTGGCTTGCTGCTGAGCGTGGGTTTGCTGAGCACCAGAGCCCCTGTTCCCTCATCTGGGCTGGATGCAGTGGGGGTGGGGGGCACTTCCTGCATTCTCTCCTGCTGCCATTAAGTGCAGCTGGGGCCGGGGGAACAGCTGGGAGCTGTCTGCAGGAGCAACGGGAGCAGTGGGCAGCTGCTGCACGTGGTGATGCCCTGTCAGAAGATGGAGCCGGCTCCTCCCCATCGCATCAGGGTGCCAGGTGCTTGGAGCCAGCTGTATTGCAGTGGGGTGCCTGCACCTGTTTTGAGGATGAGGAGGTGCAGGGCATCGTCACGCAGGTAGGAGGCTGCAGCGATCTCATGTGTGGGGATGCGCAGGATCAGCTCCTCGTTGTCACGCCAGGTGAGCAGCAGGCACCGGGCAGACAGGCTCAGGATGCTGTCCTGCTCCGGGGTCGTCTGCAGAGGCAGCTCCTTCAGCTGCTGCAAGCAGAGAACATTCTGGGGTGTGGGGACTTGATGCTACTGTGGGGTAGCACTGTGGGGTGACAAATGGAATGTTGGGCGCTCCCTTACCCTGGCAGTGTCCAGCAGCTGCAGCACCTCATCCCGGCTGGAGGGGTTCAGCGAGGCTGTTACCCAGGTCAGGTGGCCCAAAAACTGGGGGGACAAAGCCTGGGGTACTTTTGGGATGGAAAATCATCCCCCCCTGGGATGCAAGGGGAACACAACGCAGGGCCATGGGGAGTGCACCTGCCCCCCCTTCCCCCCCGCTCTCCCTGTCTCTGGACAGAAGGGGACAGAAGCACTCCCAGCCCTGCAGGTAACCCCCTGCTTTACCTTCACCTCCTTCTCCACATAGTCATGCAGCAGGATCTGGGGGTCGATCAGGTAGTCAGGGGGGTACAGTGGCACTGAGTGCAGCGGCCGCCGGTAGACACTGCTGCGGAGAGCTGCCCTCCGTGCAGCCTTGGGGAACACCAGGCGCCGGATGGGCGACACGAAGCCCTGCGGGGTTTGGGCACACATCAGCACAGCTCCTCCCTGCTGGATCCCCCTGAAACCTGAGGGGCTCAACCCCGGCACCGAGGGGAGCCCCCAGCTCCCAACCCTCATCCCGGCACCCCAAGACCCGAGGAGCCATGGCCCCACAACGCACGCACCTTCTTCCCTTTCTTGGTCTCGCAGTCCATGGCGCTGCTGCCGTCCTTTCTGTCCAACGCCTTTGTTGTTTTCCTGTCGGAAACTCCACCAGAATGGCTCGGATGTGAGTTCCTGCCCCTCTGCGGGTGCTGGGCTGGACTGGGCTGGGAATGGGGCTGACAGTGGAACTGGAGTTTGTCTGGGCTGGGCCTGAGACCAGAACTGATACGGGATTGAGACTGAGCTGGGACTGGCGCTGGAACTGGGACTGAGACTGGGACTGGGAGCAGAACTGGTATGAGACTGGGATGGAGCTGAGACTGGGATTGGTACAAGACAGTGACTGTGGGTGGTATGGAGCTGGGACTGGGTCTGGACCAGAACAAGAGCTGGGGTGCCTGTGCACTATGCAGCAGATCAGCCCCTTCCCCTCACTACCACGGGGATCCCAAGGACCCCTGTCTGCCCCCATCCTGGCAATGAAGGAGGACTCCATCTCGAGGCCACACAGCAGTGCCCAAAGCTCTCGGACCCTAGGGCAGCCCATGGACTCCTGCTTTGGGACTGGGGGTCAGATGGTGAATAGGGCCCCCCGCATGGAGGAGGTTGGACTGGGATTGCTGGCAACGGGGCTGTGTCCAGCAGTTTCCTCCCCAGCACATCACATCCTGCCCACACACCCCTTCCCTGCCAGAGGCAGCAGGGCTGAGGGCTCCAAGCAGGTGGCTCATCCACAGCTGTTCCCAAATGTCCCCAGCATCCTGGGAGCTCCACTTCAAGGCCCTGAGCCTGGCAACATGGGGGGGACTGGGGAGAGCCGGAGGAGCCAGCAAGGAAAAGGCTCTGGCAGGCAGTGCTTATTGAAATGAATTTAATATCTCATGTTGCAGCAAAATTAAAAATATACAAAAAGTTTGTGGTATACAAAAAAGTCTCGGTCAGACCCCGGTCTCTCGCTCATCCCCTGCCCCTGCCAAGGGTCCCAGAGAAGAAGGTGGCACACAGAGTATTTACAGTACATGACAGCCGGGCTCCCAGGTCCCAAGCACCAGGGGGGGGACGTGGCTGAGACCCTCAGTCCCTGCTGGGGAGAAACAGCCCCAGCCCAGAGCAGCGGGGCCTGGTCCTGGTCTGAGCTTCATCCCCCATTCCCTGAACTTGGGGTGGTCCCGCTGTCCCCGCCAGGACTGAGGCCTCTCAGAGCTTCCCCTTCCCCAGCTCAGCCCCAGCTCGAGCCCTCTTGGTGCGATCCCAGCAAGTGCTGCTGTCCTGACACTGCTGCCATCTTCACTGCTGCCAGCCGGGCTTGATTCCCCCAGCATTGCCCCTGGAGCAGGGCTGGGGAGCCACCGGGCTCAGGGGCCATGAGGGCAAAGCAATGGAGTGGCCACGTGCCATCCCACACAGCCCCACACTGCAGCCTCTGCTCTGATCCCGACATGGGAGCAGCCCGGGTCTGAGGGTACCGTGGCATGAGTGCATAGAAAAGAGTCCCTATGACCTGTGCCCCTGGGAAGGGCACGGGCTGCACCTCAGCCCAGGTGGCGTGGCTCCACATGGCAGTCACAGGCAGAGGGCTGCAGCATCCAGCACCAGCATGGCACTGGTGTGGCACCAGCACAGCAACTCCTTGGTGGCTGGGAGGCTCCAAGCTGCTGGCACCCGGCTGCTCCATGCCCAGCTGGCTCCCATCTTCCATTACACTTCCCTGAGGATAAGGGCTGCCTCCTCTGCCAGGACCTGGCTGGGGCTGTCCTGGGGCTCGCTGGGACAGAGTGGGATTTTTTGCCCATTCCTAGTAGTAGAGGAGGAGTGAGGGTCGCGGAGGGGCCCAGCCCACTGCCCAGACCCAGCTCTGCTCTGCACCCTCCTCCAGAAAGGTTCCGAGGCGTTCAGATAGCACCAGTTAGCACCAGTGACCCCACGTGGCCCAGCCCAGCCTGCACTCATCCCTTGAACTTCTTCGGAGATATGGGAAACAAAAGCAATGCAGCCCAATGGGCACCTCCCAGCACCATGGGACATCGCAGGAACACCGGGGCTGGAGGAGGGCACCGGGGCTGTGAGGGGCTCTGGGTGGGATGTGTGTCCAGGGGACAGCAGATCTGCCCTGCGAACCCAGCTGCAAACACGCACACACACACACACACACACACAGACACAGACATGGGGCACAAACACAGGGTGGGGGTACATTCAGCACAGCCCTTAGGGCAGGGGGCACTGCGGGCTGGGACCAAGCCACGCACACATTCAAATGCAGAGCCCAGGGCAGCCCTGCTCCTCTGGGGAGGAAGTAAGGAGCTGAGGGCATCGTCTTGGCTCAGGTTCCTACTGCTGAGCTGGGGGGGCTGATGCTGATGAGGGGTGGATGGAGACGCTCTCGGCTGGAGAATGGAGGGGAGAATGAATGAGGGTGAATGTGACTTCGGGGAGCCCCCGGGCACATCACCACTGCCTTGCACAGTCCTCCCAGTGCCAGCCAGGCCCTGCCCCACCAGCGTCAGTGGAGGTAGAAAATGTCACACACAATGTCACCCGTCTGGTGAAAACCAACACAATGCAATGGAGTGGTTCCCAGGAGGGCAGGAGGGAGTGGAGAGGTGCTGTGCCTCCCTCCCACCACTGGCCTCAGGGCCAGGATCTCTGCCCCACGCATGGAGCAGTGACCCCAGGGGTAGGGAACAGCCGGAGCGTGTGTGGGGGAATTGAGGCTGAGATGAAGAACAAGGGGGGGCTGCCCCGGCTCTATGCCATGCGCTACTTGGGGTTGACAGGAGCCCCAGACTCCAATACGGCCCTACTCCAGACCCCTCAGCCCCATGGCTCTCCCCCAGCACCCACATTCTCCACATTCCCCCGTGCTATGTCCCTCTGTGCCCAAAGCCCCTCACCAAACGGGCTGCTCCCGTGCACCCCGCAGCCCCCACTCTGTGCCGCCGACCTGGCGGCTCAGGCACAGGTGAGGTATTTTGGCAAGGACGAGCCCCCGGCGCACGGCCGGCCCGTGGGGGGATAGCACCAAGGGACCTCACCGGCCCCTGCCCGCGGGGCGCTCGGCACGGCCACCCCTAAGTGCCGGCAAACCGAAAAGAAAGGCAAAACGCTGCGAAGAGACGGAACAGCCCGGCCGGGGACGCCCCTGCCCTACACGGTGGTCTCATACTCCAGGAGCTCCTGGGACACTCCTGCTGTGCGGTACTGTAGGCGCGGGGTGCTGGGCGAGGCGTACTCCAGCGCCAGGATGGTCTTCCGCAGGCGCCGGTCGATGAAATGGGCGTCCCAGGCCGGGTACTTCTTCCTGGGGAGGTCTATGCGGATGACGGGTCCCTCTGTCCGCGGGGTGCGGGCGGCCGGCGGCGTTGGGGCGCAGGGCCGCACCTGGAAGACGGGCACGCAGCTGTCCCGCTCCCCCGGCGCCCCTTCCCGCTCCCCCCCTGTAGTCCGCGGCAGCGAGCGCGGGGGGCTGGTGACCACGTCCGCAGGGGAACTCGGCGCGGGGGGCGGCCGCTGCTGCCGGAAAATGCAGCCCCCGGAGCTGGGACCGAACATGGGGCCGTTGGGGTGCAAGAGGCAGTAGTAGATGAACATGAAGAAGATGCCGAGGGCGAAGCTGGAGCTGACCACGCAGACGAGGATTAAGGCGTTGAAGTCGGAGATGGTCTTGCGGTCGTAGTAGAGGAACCAGAGGATGGTGAGGGCGGCGTTCTCCGACAGTGTGATGATGTAGTAGATGAACATGCGGTAGCGGCTCCGTCCCTCCTTGACATTGAACCAACAGAAGATGTAGATGATGCCCACCACCATGTTGTAGATGATCTCCTCCCACTTGGACATGCAGAAGTCCGTCTCGCCCTGGATGATCCAGAAGGTCATGATGCACCAGTGGGTGACGATGAAGATGCCGAAGTAGAGCTGGAACACGGAGGCAAAGAGGGCGAAGGCGATGGCGCGGGCAGCAATGGTGAAGAGGTGCCACAAGATCTGCACCACAGCTCCCTTGTAGGACATGGGCATCTTGTCCTCCCGCGAGTCCCGTAGCACCTTCTGGTAGGAGGCAATCATCCATGCCAGGGAGACCAGTGAGGCCGAGGCTGAGAACCCTATGGGCACAGAGGGGCTGTGAGAACGGTGGGGAGACAAGGAGGGGATGCGGCCATGACCAGGCTGCAGCCCCCCAACCTTTCGCTACCACCCGGAGGCTCCCTACCCTGCAGTGCCTCGATGTCATTCTGCTGCACCATGATGCTGAGCTGCAGCACCAGCTGCGGCGCGCTCTTCAGGAAGGTCTCCAGCAGCCGCAGCATGCTGATATCTGCGTTCTCAAACATCATCCTCCAGTAGAAGTGGCGGCGGCGGTGCTCGGCCTGCCAGCGGCTCTGCAGCCCCAGGTACAGCGTGCGGAGGTACCTGCGTGAGGGGGAGCGTTGAGGACGGCCCCCACCACGCTCAAATCCCACAGCTCTGCCCCGTGATGCTGCCATCCTGCTGCAGCATGGCACATCCCTCCTAACTGAGGCTGTGGAGATCCTCATGCAGCAGGTGTGAGGCAGCAGGGATGCTCCACCTGGTGCTGGTGCCAAGCCACTCTCACCCAGCCCTGTTCCCCACTCTCCCTGGCACAGGATCTCATTCCTTCCTCCATCCATGACCCCACTCTTCATCCTCTGCACATTTCAGGTGTCCCGCTCGCAACCCATCACTGTGCCAGGCTGCTTCTCAAAGTGGATATTTTGGTCCTGGCTGGCTCGCAGCCCACGCTGCCTGCCCTGGGCAGAGGAAGGAGGGAGCAGGAGGACCAGCTGGTCGTGCGGGGTGCCCACAGGGAGCTACCGTGCCGGTGCTGCCTTGGCTCTTGGCAGGGCTGAGGGCCTGAGCACAACCATATGGTCCATGCTCGGGGTCAGTGGAGCCATGCGTGGCACCGACGCACCACTGAGTCACCGGGAGCCCTCCCTACGGCACCGGGCCAACGAGGCTCAGGGAAATGCCGTGTCCCTAGGGAGGGAACACATGTACCATGGAGGGGAAACAGGGATGGATGTGTCCGGGCTGCTCCATGCCGACTGCTCACAGGTTTGGTAGGAGAGAAGGGAGACGGATGAGTATGAAAACAGAAAGATTAAGCAAAAGGAAGTCAGACCATAAAGCTCCCTCCCAACCTCGTAAAAATGTCACACAAACTGATGGCCTTTATATCAGATCCATAAAATGCTGTCAGTCGACTCCATTAGCCCGTGAGCACTGGGAGAAGCCCTGATCCCAGCACTTTCAGCTCATCCATCAGCAGGAAGAGGCAGAAGCCAGCCCAGTTCCCTCAGTGGCCCTGTCCCGGCGCCTCCCACACCAGTGGCCACTGCAGGGCTGATGCAGGGTTGGGGGCTGCGTGACCTGGAGGTGGGGGGAGCATCAGCTGGTGCCACCCATGCCCCAAAGCCACCCTGCTGCCACCACCATCTGCTCCCACAGCATGCAGGAGGGAAGGCAGGGACACCAACCCCACGGGGCTCCTGGTGATGCTTGGCAGGGGCACGGGGTGTCAGTGCAGCACTGCCTGCAGCATCCTCCAAAGCTGCCTCCATCACCTTCCTGCCAGGCTCCATCACCCTTCTGCCCAGCTCCAGCATCCCCTCTCCTGGCTCACACGAAGCCAGGGCAGCCCAAGGGCCCTGCTGCAGCCGGAGCTCAGCCGGGCTGATTTCAGCCTTCCCATCTGGCTTCTCCCTCTCCCCATCCCTGCTCCGTATGGCTCCTTCTGCAGCCTCTCCTCTCTGGAGAAGAGCCCAGTGCCGGGTGGTGGTGGCCGCATCCTGCAGGGCTGTGCCGTGAGCCAGTGCTGGAGAGGTTGGGGTGGCCAAAAGGAGCAGAGGGGACAGAGGGAAACTGGGGGGACACAAGCTGAGCTCTGCCAACCCAGCCCTGAGAACCTCCCAGAGATCTTTGAGCGCTGGCAGCCAAACAAGACGTCCCCATCTGCAAATTATACCATTTCCATCCAGCACCACAGTGGAAGTGGGGTGAGGCTGGGGAACCACACGCACCCCCATCTGCGGCTCCTCACCGCTCAACAAGTGGCCCTTGGACCCCCCCGCTTTCCACGGGGCCCGGTTATCCTCCCACCTTCCTGTCAGCTCATTAAACCGAGATTTCATCTCCCATCAACTTGCCAGAATGAAATGCTGATTCCTATTTGTTATGCATTTGATCACGCCGTTTGTGTTTCAGCCCAGGAAAAGATCCCCGCGCGCTGACGGAGCACCGCCAGGTTTTTATGAACTGAGCGCAGCAGCAGCTGCATGAGAAATACAGAATCAATTACTTTAAAAAAAAAAAATCATTTAATTTTCAAAAAACTGATGATGAGGCAGAAACAAACCAAGAGAGGCTCTTAGGGCTAATTACTGCCTCCTTTGTATTAAAAAGCCCAATCCGACAAAAATCTCCACGGAGGGTTGGGGTGGCAGTGGGGGCAGGAGCACCGTTTGCTCACCTCCAGCCCCACAGCACGGCCCCGCAGTCATCAGTCATCCCACAGCCTCATCACAGCCCTCAAATCTGTGGTCCCACTGCCATCCCAGCTTGCGAAGGTTGGAAGAAAAGCAGAGTCTTATTCCGAAACTTAATGCCAATCTTAACCCCAACCCTGGCTCTTCCAATGCCAGAGATCACCATCCTCAGGTGAGGAGCCACAGGGCCTCCCCCATTCTGAGAGTGAGCAATAGGAAGTATGATTTTCTTGACAGGTAATTTGAGATATCGTCCCTCATTGCTTCATTAAACCAAGGAGAAAATTGCTTTCCTGTTGCAGCCATGCCAATCCATGACACAATCCACAAAGCCGAGCCATTGGGGGGAGCCCCGTGTGCAGACTGATGCCTGGCCAGCAAGAAGGCCACGGTCCCCAGGTGCTCCCTTCCCTGCAGCCCCACCTCATCCCAGTTTCAGGACTGTGGGGAAAATCTGGGGCCGTGCAGGGAGTGATTGGGGCAGGTGAGAGCTGCCAAGGGAATTACAGTGGCCCTAGCCACAGGGCTGGATAAATGCAGGAGGGGAGGCATGAGCAGGGAGGGCCCAACATCACGGCCAAGGAAAAGCCTTCCTTTCACACGCAGTGTTTATTTGGCTGTAATTCAACACTTCTTAAACTGTCACATCCACCTGCACCAGACCCACTCTCGCTAATGGGTTTAGTGAACTGCATTTAACTGGTCACCCGAGCAAATCCCAAATCCTCGGATTAGAAAGAGCCTCAGCTGCAGCTTGAAACCAACGTGTCCTGGAGGGTCAGTGCTGAGAGTTACCACTTTAATTGGCTTAGGAGCCTGCAGCAGATAGGAGGCTGCAGCTGACACAACTGGGAGCAAAACCTGACCCGGCTCCAACCAAACCCCAGTAATTGCTCACCGAGCCCCAGGAATCTCATTCTCTTTCCCAGCTCTCCCAGTACACCCAGAAGGGGATCTCTCCCATCCTGCTGGACCGAGGAGGTGGGCTGATGGGTGGGGGGCAGGCAGGGAGGGAAGGACAGGAGCTGCTCACACAGAGCACATTGCTCTGTGAAACAAAGTTAGAGATCCCCGCAGCATCCCAAGAAAAGCAGCAGAGAAGCGCATGCAGACAACAAGGAGGAGGAAAGCAGCCTCTGTGCCACAGTAGCTCAGGAGGGGAAGCAGCACCAAAACAAGACCAAGAGCATCGCTTGCTCAGGGCATTGTTTCAGGAATATGCCATTGTCTCCACTCCCCTCCCAGCATCTCAAGGCTTCGGCTCCATTGCAGAACACTGGATGGAGTTCAGCAGAGCTGGGGGGGAGCGGCACTGGCTCCATCACACAGGGAAAGAAGGTGCTCAGATGGAAATGAGCGTGCCAAGAAACCATCAGCTTTGGAAGAGGGTGCAGAGGAGCATGCTCGAGGGGCTCGAGTCTGCTCTGGGTCAACTGCTGCTCATTCTGCCTGCAGGCCCACCAGGGCAGGGAGCAGAAATGCAGCCCCATGGGGAAACCTGGGGACAACCACTCCCTCCTTGCCCACAACAGCTCCAAGCAGGAGAAGGAGAAACCGGGGAGGAGGCTCTGAGCCCAAGGTGCTTGGTGCCCAGCAGGAACACTGCATATCCCTAGGATGTGGTCCCCATGGTCAGGCAGATGCCCTCACCAGGCCCAGCACCACCCAGGGACAACAGGCCCGTGCCACCCAGCAGGGCTGCAGCCCCTCACTCTGCCCACGCCCACAGCTCTTGCTCACAGCCAGGTTCTGCCAAGAGCCCTCCACCCCCTACTCCTTTTGTGGCTGCAGAGGGATTGGTCCCCACGCCCACCCCAGCTGCACATCGCCATGCCCACCTCCATCCCCCACCTGTGTCCCGGCCATCCCCACCTGTGTTCTCTGTCCTCCCTGCACCTGGGGATCCCCACTCATACCCGTACTGCGCTCTGCCCCTCCATCCAGCCCCATCCCATCCCTGCGACCCCTTCCTTTTACCTCCGGACGTGCCCCAGCTGCAGAAGCTGGATGCATCCCTGCAGCCCCATTAGGTTCATCCCCATCCCGTCCCTCCGACCCCCTCCTTTTACCTCCAGACCTGCCCCAGCTGCAGCAGGTGGATGCAGCCCTGCAGCAACCAGACGCAGAGGCGGCAGCAGCCGCGGCGGCCGCGGGCGCTGTCCTTGGTGCTGCCGGCGCTGTCCTTGGTGCCGACGGCGAAGTCGTACACGAACCACCTGAAGCTGAGCAGCTGCACCACGAGCGAGGGCAGCAGCACGAAGAGCAGCGTCAGCCCGAACCACCACCGCTGCCCCCGCACGTAGTAGTGGGCCGCCAGCCACAGGTCCGAAGCTCCGTCCGCGAAGCAGACGAGGAGGGCGCACAGCACCCAGCAGCCGTCCCGCAGCCGGTACCGCCGGGCCGGGGGAGTCGCGCCGCCCGCCCGCCGCCCTCCGCCGCCCTCCGGACTCTCCAGCCTCACGGCCGGGCCGCCGCCGCCGCCGTCCGACTTCGCGGCCATGTTGTCGGGGGAGAGGAGGAGAAAGGAGGGAGCGGGAGAGACTTCCGGAGGGAGGACGGAGCCGCCGAGCCCGCCCCGGCAGCGCCCGCCCCCCCGCCGGCCTCGCCCCGCGCCCGCCGGCCGGGCCCAGCCGCGCCGCACCGGCACCGGCCCCGCCGCTCCCCCACCCCGGCAGCTCCCTCCGCCGGCCCCGCCCCGGCCCCGCCGCTCCCCCTCTCCCGGAAAGGGCAGCGCCCCGCGGGCGCCTCCCCCTGCCCGGACCCCCGGCAGCCCCGGCTCGGACCGGCACAGCCCCGCCGCCGGCTGAATGCCCGGCCCCGCCGCCCGAGTGCCTCTGCCCGCATCTCCAGCGCCTGGAGTATCCCCAGCCCTTAGCCCTCATCACGGCAAAGCCTGCCCGTGGGTCCGGCCCCGAATGGGTGCGGGAGGTGAGAGCCTGGACCTGGGTGTACAGAGGTGCTGTGGGGCCGGGGCAGGAACGTGGGGACACATAGACATAGAGACGCAGAGACACAGACACGTGGAGACATAGAGACACAGGATCACGGGGACTCAAGGACGTAGGGACACAGGGACATAGGCTACCAGGCTTCCACCCAAGGCAGCCTGAGGAAGGGAAGAGGGCAGCTGTTGGGGCTGCTCCCCCTGGCACCTGGAGCCCACTGGGCTGAACCCATGGGGAAAGCCTCTGAGGAGCCGCACAACCTGGCCAAGCACCAAGATCTGTGCGTGGACCTCACTCTCCCCCTCCATTTGCTGCCTATCAGTGTTCAGATGCAGCACGTCCTGATCATCCCCTGTCATGGGGTACAGGGAGCACATTGCCAGCAATCCCAGCAGCGCCTAGAGGCCCAAGGGGAGGGAAAAGGGCTTTTTGCTGCTTTGCAGGGTGTCTCCAGGGAGAGTGACGGCACAGAGGCAGCTGTCTCTTTACAGCAGTCTCAGCCCCTCTCTGCTGGCTGCGTTTCAGCCTGCCAGGCTCACCTCAGCACGGTTGCTGCTGGAGGAGCCAAGCACTTGGATGAAGCCTGGCCCACGGTGCACACACTGCAGCACAGAGTGAGGGAGAGTCTGTTTTATCCCAGGAAACACAGCCAACTTTCCAACTCCATCTTGCATAGTGGCAAGGGGGGTCAGCTTAGAGCTGGGAAGAGCCTGGGTTGCTGGTGCATGAAGCCGTTGGAATATGCTGTGCGAGGAAGGCATTGTGCAGCCCAGGGGAGCAGAGGCAGGCCCTCTGCAAGGTGCATGTATTAGCACAGGTAACACAACTTAAATGCCACCTAACCTTGAGATGCTCCTGACAGATCCCCTCCACAAATACCCGGCTGGGGGAGGGGATGCTGCCTGCATCCCAGGAGGACAGGAAAAGAGCCATGACTGTCCAGAAGCAGGGGAAGCACCACTGGTGCAGAGGGGTCTGAAGGCTGTCCCTGGGAGTCTAGGCAATGGCACAGGAATGGTGCCATAACCCTCAGGTGATGGTGGGCACAGCCACAGGACAAGGGGAAGCCGGGGGGAGGAGGGATTCCTTCTTCCACAAACCCTGAAACGCCACCTCCAAAGCGGAGTTGAATGTCCAATGCCTGCATACGAGGTGACTGTGGTTTGATGTCTGATTTATCTTAACAGCAGACCCTGGCAATCACAGGAAAAGATGAGGGAAAAAAAAAATCCATAAACATGCCTGAAGCCTTCCTGTGCATCTGTCAGCAGACAGGCAGAGGGGGTTTCGAGCTGCATAAATAAAAGTGCTTCAAGAAAGGAAGAAAAAGGAACATGCTGAAACCCAAACCTTCAATGCGTAACAAAATACAGACAGATGCAAACCATCCCATAGCAGCGGGTGGATGGCCACATGCTCTGGCTGCACAGGTTCCCAGGAGGGAACATAAACATGCAATCAATCTGAACGAGCTGCCAGGCTGAGTCCAGCTTGCAGGCAAGCAGCTTGCCCGTGGCGCCAGGTCCAGTAGAAGAAAGGCCGTGATGATTTGCGACTGGCTCAGAGCCTGCTGTGGGAGAGACCTGCAGAGCGTGGCACCGGCAGCCATTCATTGCCTTGGGAATGTTTTCCAGGTGCCCAAGGCTTTGTGATGCCTCCTGCCACAGCTCAGCTGCAGCTCCAGTGCTGAGCTGCAACCCCCTGCGTGGCCACGGTAAACCTGGCCTTCATTTTGGTGTGAGCTGGTGAGCAGCGCTGCCTGCCTCAAGGATGGTCATCGGGCTTCTCTCTGCTGCTGCTAAAACACAGGGAGCCCATCTTCAGCCCATCTCCATTCTCATACCCAGCCCCATTCCCATTCCCAGCCCCCAATCCTGATCCCCAAAGGCTGTGTCCACGTATGTGAGGCAGGACAGACGGCCACGGCTTCTACTGCCCGTGAAGGTCGGGAGAGAGTGTGTCCCTGGGAAGCAAACCCAGCTCCAGCTCCAGCTGTGATCCAAGCACGCATTATGGAAATCAGGCTGTCTCCTGATCCCATCAAAGCAGAAAGGATCAAATGCTGCCAGGCAGAGAGCTGGAACCAAGGGCTCTGTGGTGGATGCTGCACTGTGGGGCTGTAGGGCAGGTCTGTGTCCCACATCCCATCTGCAGCCAACCCCAGCACTCACATCACAAAGAAGCTCCTCAGAAGACAATGTGGATGAGGAGCAGATGGATTCCAGGCCCACCTCGAAACCCCCACTGAAAAGGAGCATTTCTCAGCTTTGGCATGCAGCCCCATCCTGCTGCTTCTTCTGCTTGGTGTCAGGAAAAAAATCCAAACCGAGCCTGAATCACTCCCAGCCCGGCCAGGATGCTGTGCACAAAGTGCTCATTTCCACCGCTTCGCTGGGAGCCTTCTTATTTTAGCACACGCTGCCGCAGACTGAGATCTCTCCCGTTAACTGTCACAAACGACCTTACGAGATTAGGGCCGGTAATCTTCCGATCTGTTTAATCTTCCTCCGGGGATTATTCGCACAGCTCCGCTCCTCGCAGCCGCAGAACCGCAGAACACCCCGAAATGGAAGGGATGACCGAACCCAACCCCCGGCTCCACACGGGGAGCCTCGAAATCAGACCTCGTGTTTGAGAGCCCCGGCCTCCGGGGCAGAACCTCACCCCGACACCCAGGCGAACCGCCCCGCCGCAGCCCCGAGCCTCTCGGTCCATCAGCGCGGAGCGGAACCTCCGCGCCGCTCCAGGCGCAGCCGGGCCACCCGGCCGCCCCGCAGCGCCCCCCGTCGAACCGTCCGGCCGTTTCCCGCAGCGGCCGCACGGGGGCGCTCTGCCGCCCTCCGCGGAACTCCCGAACGCGGCCGCTGCAGCCGCCCGGCGGGGAGCGGAGAACGGACGGAGCGGCGCCGGCCGCCATGGCGCGGGATCCGGCCTTCGTGCTGCGCTACCTGGCCGAGGTGGAGGAGCTGGCCGAGGACGTGCTGGCGGCGCGGCAGCAGGTGAGGCCCGGTCCGGCTGACGGCTCGGCGCCGCCCGGCCCCCCCCTCCCATCCCTTCCCTTCCCGTCTCTCTGCAGATCGTCGATCTGGACGTGAAACGGAACCGGAACCGCGAGGCGCTGCGGGCGCTGCGCAAAGACCCGGAGCCCGAGGGTGAGAGCGGGAGCCCCGCGGGGACCGGGGCGGTGTGCGGGGGGCGGCGCTGAGCCCGTCTGCTCCTCGTCCGCAGGAAAAGCCATGGTCTGCTTCGGGAGCACGTTCATCGAGCTGCCCAAGGCCAAGACCGAGGAGATGCTGCAGAAGGGTACGGCGGGCTGTGCCCGGCGCTGGCCGTGATGAGGTTTGAGCTAAAATAGCCCCCGGGTCTGCGCTGTGCGCCGCTGCCGGCCCGTCCCGCACGCAGCACGACCCCCTCCTGCCCCGGGTCCTGCGGGCTCTCTGTCGGTCCTCTATTCAACCGCGGTCCCCCTTATTCCTGCTCTGCTATTTTCAGATCAGGAACATCTGGATGAGGAGATAAACAACCTCCGGAAAGAGCTGCGTGTGAAGGTCAACCGTCTCTATGAAGCTCAAGGTAAACGCTGCTGGTCTCGAGCCCCGCAGCAAAGGTCTGGCAGCAGAAAGTCAAAATCTGGGGCTGCTCTTCCTCTCACTTTGAAATTCCCTCCCTGCTCCGGCAACAATGCGTTGCTGCACAGCTGTCACCCAGCAGCGTGCTGAATGCACGCAGCAATGACCAGGTTGGACATTAGGAACAGTTTGTTCTCCAGAGGAGCAGCGATGCAGTGGCACAGCTGCCCAGGGGGGTTGGTGGGATCGCCGTCCTTGGAGGTGCCCAAGAACTGCAGAGATGCAGCACTGACAGACGTGGTCAGTGGGCACGGTGCAGTAGGTTGGGGTTGGATTTGATGCTCTCAGGTTATTTTCTTTTCCAACCTTCACGATGCTGTGAGAACAAACTGCCCTGCCCACGTGGAATGCTTCACGTGTTTCATAGCAGAATCCCGACGTCCTGCACGCTCTCACAGGTAAACCTGAGCTGAAGGGATTTAACCTGAACCCCATGACGCCGGAGGAAATGAAACTCATCAATCGCATCCTGGAAGGCTGAGGCAGCTGTGCCACCACAACTGCTGTGGCTGGGGATCACTCACAGTGTTTGCACTGCATCAGCCACAGCCTCCAGGATTTCCAGCACTGCTGGAGCCTCTCACAAAGAGCACGGGGAAAGATGCAGCTCCTCAGCTACAATTCTGGCTGTAAACTCTCCCTGCTCCTTGCTGAGGATGGTGGCAGAGCAGTGCAGAGGCAACTGCTGGAACAGTGGCTTATTCACAGCCTATGACAAACACCCACTTGCAAGGGGGATTATTAAAATCAGCACTGTTGGGCATTCCTAACTGTGTGTGTGTTTGTTGTTGGGTTTGTATGTGAGAGCTTCTGTAGTTTGGCTGCAGAGCTGCAGTTCACTGTCGTGTCAGGGACAGGAGTGGGAGGAATTGTAAATCTACAGCGTGCCCAGAGCATAGAAGAGCTGTGTGTGCCTGTGGTATTAGAACAAAAATGAAACTATACATCTGAAACATGTCAGGAATCTCCTGAAAGATGTGTATGGAGGAACAGAAGAAGGCAGCATCCTGTTAGCCTTAATGGGAAAACAGTCTGCTGTAAAGGTGGGAGCCAAGAGAACACAAAAATGAGGCTTTCAAAACAGGATGAAAGAACAAAACATAGATATATAAGCAAAAAACCTGCAGCTTGAAGAGCTGGGACTTGGCCTGCAGTAAAGGGATAATTGTTTTAAGTCGTAATAGTTTCTTCAAAGGTTGTAAAACTCACTGTCTCACACACTACCCTCTTCATCCTGGAGTTGCTACCCCCATACAGGCTGGGTAAGACCACAGCAAGACTTGTGAAAGTTAATCACAACTGTCAGCATACTGCAGTGAGTCTCCTTTCTACAAGTTCCTGCTCTTCCCCTTCTGGACTTCTGTAAGATTGTTTTAATGGAATTTAAAGACTTCAAACACTGCAGTTGTCCCCGTGTCACTGGCTCTCCTGGTAGCTCATCTGCTCTCCAGGAGTAAGTTAGAGATGCAAAGACTGAAAGTAATGTTAACTTAGTCTCTGAGGCACCTTACAGCTGCTCTGGAAGTGAATGGCAGTACATTGCCACACGCCTGTGTTCTAACTGCACTCTTACATAACCTGCATGGTACAGCCAGGAAATGTGTCTAACATGTGATGGCAAGGTTATTTTTACAGTATCATGGCAACAGGTTTTATGATCTGACATGTTTCCATAGTAGTAGCAGCAGAAGGATTAGGTGTCTGCCTTCCCCAAAAGCTTTGTTTTGCTGGACAGAACGCATTCAGCTGCTTTATTTTCTCACACTCTATGCAGAATGCAGGTGGTCAGCTGAGAAGCCAGCATCACCTGCGAGTGCCTTGTCAGACACTGCAAAATACTTCATGCAGGCCTGTCACAGCTTCCCAGCTGGGGAAGCCTTCAGGAACAAGGAGGCCAACTATGTTGGGCTGAGGCAGAGAGAAATGTGAACTGCTGCTACACAATAGAAGGAAGAGAGACCATGAACTTTATCTACAGCGATCTCCCAACCCGAGATCAGCCTCACACTGTCTGCTGCGCAGGAAGATTCCCAAAAAGCTCTTCCAGTTGTTTCTTCCTGTCATTGAAGCAGCCTGCAATGAAAACAGTAAGAGGGGAGGAGCCCAGGCCCTTACCTTCCACCTTTCGTGAGCACAAAGGGCAACTGCCCACTTTCAGCTGAAGCTGTATTCACCTTTTATTTAGGAACTACACTCAGTGGTGACTGTAGGCAAACAAATAACCTCCAGACACGTGTTGGCCTCTCAGAAGGATTCTGAAGTCATACAAGCACTACTTCATGGTATTAAGAGGAAAAAAAAGCACAGCCAGCTGTAGGGGAGTGCTCAGTAAACATCTACTGCAATGGCTGTAGATGAGATTTTCTGCCACGCTGACATATGAAGAACTGCAACAATTTAAAAGCTTGAAAAGCAGGGTTATAAACAATATTGTTTGTCTGCTGGATTTCAATAGCACTGCTGTAATTCTGGTTGCTCACATCCATGTTTGGAAAGCATGGGTTCCTTTTGGACTCCTGTAAGGGTCAATGTTCCCTGTTCTCTTGTTCCTGAGTGACAGGGGTGTGCTCTCCTGTGCTGAGGGAGGGACGTAAGCAGGGCACCATGCCTGCACTGGGTGAGCACATACCTAAGTGTGTGTTTGCCATGAAGTTCCCATTCACCAAAGCACCCAGGTTTCCTCCTCTGCTGACAGGCCCATCGTTCCATATCAGGTCAAAGCCACCAACACGTTTCTCCTTCCCAGTCAGCCTACAACATCAGATACAAGTACTGAAGTACAGAGTGCTGATGATCATCTTACCTGCACACAGGAATAAACTTCCTGGTCAGAGATAAAGCTGAACAGCTGGAAGCAGTGGGCATCTTTCTACTATAAATATCCAAAGCTGGCACGGTTGTAAAGTCAACCACAAAATGATGCAAGACTGGCTTCTTGGAACAGATCACTCCAGAAGCAATGAGTGTGGGAGGCACAATGCAGAAGGAGCTCTGAAGCAGTTCTTGTGCAAGTCCCAGCTCTAACACCGACTCCATTTCCTTCACAGCACTGCGTTGCTTTGTTTTCTCCACTCTGAAGCAGAGATATGCCTGCTTGCTTTGCCCAGTCTCTGGAAATTCATTATTTAACAGCTAGAAAGCTCAGCACCTTCCAATCAGTTGCCAAGACAAGAGTGTGTGTGAGCACCTTCACACAGAAATAAAAACCTTTAGGGGGTAATAAGCATCTTTGCCCACCTGCCCTCCATGTCCACAACATGAAGTGTGTCTTCAAGCAGGTGACACTTGAGCTCATAGTCCTCCTGGCTGCTGGCAGCAAGGGAAGGCGACGCATTTACCTCCAGAAGCCAGCTGAGGAGACAGAGCACTAAGTTAGGGAGAAACAGGCACTTTTACCCATGGCTCATCTACCAGAAACGCCTGTCCACAAAAGCACCACACTGCCAGCAGGCTGGAGTAAGTGTGAAGCAATAGGAAATCCAACCCCAAATCTCTTTCCCGCACGCTGAGCCAAAGAACATTCTGAGCTTATTGCAAAGTTTCTATTCCTGTTCTCAATGGTAATAAAGAAAAAATCCCTCCAGCATCCAGAAAGACATGCAAGTTAAAACCAAACTCTAGAGAAAGCAGTAAACATTGAGGACAAATCACAGAAAAAGCACTAACTCATTTTTGGTGCAGGAATGCAGAAGTGTCCTGGGAACAGTTTGACAGCACAGCAGTGTTCAAATGGCCCTCCTAGAGAGCCACAGAAATGAGGCAAGCAGCAGGAGTGGCATCCAAGCACTGCAATATCAATGACTTTCAGTCCAGTCCACCACTCAGATTTGTTTTCTAACCAGTTGAAGTCACTCCAGCTCCTTCTGTGCAGGCAACCTCCACAATACTTTGGTCTCAGGCTCTCCACTGAGTGGATGGCACAAATTAGAGCTATCCAGGACCACAGCTGAGCTGCATTCCTTTGCTCATTCCAAGTAAAGCTGTCCCCAGTGGCACCACACGAGATGCTAACAGGACACGTGGCTGTCACAGGTAAAGCAGCTACAAAGAGCATGAATCTCAGGGATATGTCCTTACCTATGGTGCTACTTGCATTTCATGTAACTGAGGCTGCAAGAAGAATCCAGCTCGTCATTTCTGAAGCACTACTTGCTGTTGCTATTTCTCTCAACTCATGTAATGACAAGTTAGTTGCACTTTCGGGTTCCTGCTGTTGCAATACTTGGGTTGCACATTGTGGCAGATAAAAACTGGAGAATTTCAGCTGAACTTTGAGTCATATTTTTCACTTAAACTGTGAGAAGAGCTATACTTAAAACATTTAAGTACAGCCAGATTACGTTTTAAAGTCCTGGGGGTTTTGTTGTTTCTGTTTCTTTTAAACATCCTCAATCCCTACACAGCCTCTTTATCCATGATTAACAGGAGGTGCATCTTTCCATTGGGGTCTCCCATCGTAATGCAGACACAGGGGATGTGTTTTATGCTAGCAGCCTCATGGTGGTGGCTGGACATCCATCACCACTGATGGGACACTGCTGCGATACACACAGCAGGAGAAGAGATGCTAGCAGCCCTCCTGTCTCATAATTGCTGTGACACATCGATGTTTGAGGGAACTTATCACAGAAATAACCAAAATAGCAGGTTTTCACAACACAGCACAGGAGATTTCACAACATTACATGCTGCTGCACCCCATGTTCTGAACAAGAACAGCTGCATTCCTCACAGATTCCAGCTTCCTAGGTGCAAAACCTCCCTGTTTCACTCACAGTTCCTGGACTGGCTCACTCGCAGCCAGCCTGCAGGCAATTACCTTCAGGATGCAGAAGTGTCCCCAGACATCCCCACCATCCCAGGGCAAGCAGCTGGCCTGACACTAGAATCCCTTCCACGTTCATTACCCCCCTTACGGCTTCAGGTGCTGATCAATCAGGATGTCGTAGCCATAGAGCTCGAAGCAGCGCCTGTCACTGATAATCACTTTCTGAACGCTCTGGAGGCTCTTGATGAAGATGTTGTCCATATCCGCAAAGAGAACTTCCACCAATCCTGCTCCATGCTTGGCAGTCAGGTACTGCCTGAGCTGCTGAATCATCCACTTGCAGCCCTGAGACATCCAAACACAATTATATACAAGCTGCTCCCAACAGATGAGCGCACATTTAACCTGTGTGATTTTTTTTTTCCAGTCACCCTACAGCCAAGCAAGAATTCTTAGTAAAAACCCAGAGACCAGAAGGCAAGGGCTGCCAACTCCACAATGCAATTAAGCAATTCGTGTTTGATTATTTTGTCTACAAAGGAGAGGAGGAATTTTAAAAAAGCCTCCAGGTCCCCATCAGAAACTCTCAAAGAGCAAATCATCACCTTCTGTCAGGATACTGCACAGACCCTCCTTTCCATACTGAATTTATAGAAGGGAACAGCCTATAGAGTGGGAAGCTCAACTACTCTCAGATGTTGACTCTGATCTCACATCTGCCATGAACCT